GTTTAGCTTTCAAGTTAAGACTTAAATGGTAGGTTTTTATGCTTTTAACACTTCTGTATTTTGATTTGTTGTATGTAGCTGTAATAGCTTATTAGCAAAGAGGTGGTATAAAAACAAAGAAACAAAACCATATTCCAAAATACTGGATTCTGTGTCCCAACACACAATCATATTCACTAGAAAACAAATGAAACAAACCTCCCTAAAGCTGGGGTCAAAAAGTTAACCCGGTACTCCCTGTTCTTGCTCTATTCAATGCTATCTGGGCTAATGAAACTTACAGTCCAAAACATCTGGAACAGCAGTTTCCAAACGTTTATTTTATGTGGACAATTACATTGCCATTGAAAGCTTGTGCTGATCACCCTGTAGGCAAATATTACAACCCAAGTACCTCCTCAACTGGCATCTGTGGATAATTTTTTTAATTTAATATTAGATTATTTAAATCTAATATTAAGGATTATGTGAGATCACCAAATCCTGCAAGATTTAAGCACAATGAAATTTCAGGCAAAACAGAAAAGCCTCAAGATTTGGCAGTTTTATTAGATCTTAACAGTTTTTTAAAAGATCTTTTTAGTTTGGCAGCCATGTGACAGACCACCAGCAGTATTCTTGCAAACTATCACCAATGATCTGCTGACTACAGGATCACTCTTCTAGGTGGCACAGATTTATCTATATACTCTTGCTGTAGAATGCATTGTAGTCTTAATAGCTTCTGATCTGTTCTCTCAAAAGCCATTAAAGCTCTACAATACTAAACACCATCATACTCCCCTTCTCATTTCTTAACAAAGATGCATGAAGAAAAGCCCTTGATACAGTTTCTGTTCTGGACATAAATTGAGGAAGGCTAAATTGTCATTTCTTGATCTTGGTCATTGCTTTGATCCTCAAAATTCTGTGCTTGCTCTCTGCTTCCAAGCTTGCTGAGAATTGGGATATTTAATTCTGATCAGATGTTTCAGATCAAATGCTAGTTTTTGTTCAGTAGGGTCTGTTATGTTCAGTTTTGAGCTATCATTTATTATGGCTGAGCTGAGATGGCCTTGTTGCTCTGATCTTCACTATCTGTAGTGGAAAATGGTTGAGGGAGTGGTCTGTATATCTCCAACAATATAATCCACATGATGAAATGAAATCAATTGATAATTATCTTTAGAAGAAATCCACCCTCAGTGGAGTCTTCCAATTCCATAGCATGCTTCAGAATATCATTGGAGAGGAATCTGGAGGGTCATTTGTAGGTAAAACTAATGTTCAAATTAAAAAACAAAACAAAACCAAATGATGAGACTACCAAAATATTTCATATATCCCTTGAGGTATCATTGAATTTTGCCTAGAGCAAATGTATAAAAAAACTATAAGGATGTCAAGAATGTTGAGATAATTTATTATATTTCTGGGAAATGATAGAAAGAAAGGTCTTTACTCTAAAAAAAACATTTTAACAACAAAGGGGCTTCTTTAAATAGTTCATTGACATTGTATAATCTCAAAGCTGTACCTGGTTGCAAACCCACAGATGCTCATGTTTTACACAGCATGTTAAATACAATTGAGAAGTGACTGGTGCATATGATATAACCCCTTGCATACCTGGCCATTACACACAGAGTGAAACTCTGAAACTGGCTCACAGCCCATTATTTATTTCGCTTCTTCCAAGTTTCCCTATGGAAATAAATTGAACGACACTAGCAGAAGGCTAGCAATAAAGGGGTCACTGGGTTACTCTTGACCCAAGGCAGGAACTTATTTCTTAAATCTTTTCTCAGATCTGTATAATAATGCCATTTGGTTTCTTGGATCTCCCCAAAAATGCAGACTATTTCTTTTTCAAGACTCCATGCCAAAGAATGTACTGTCTCCAGAGATGAAGGGCCATTAACTGTCACAGGTAAGGGAAATGCAAGCAAAGCTAAGTGGTCTGAAAATGCTGGATCTTGAGGGAATTGGTGGTGGTGGTGGTGGGGGGGTGTTTTCTCTTATGCTCTATCTCTGAGTGTCATTGGACTAGCCAATTGGGCCAATTCTGGGGAACTCTTTTTTATATTTTTAAAACTAACCCCTTGCCTGCTTCAATAACATTAACAATAATTAATACAATCAATAATTTTATTACTGATTAATCAGAGTGAATGAATTCAATTTAATAATAAATTAATAATAACAAATAGAAATAATAATAATGAAATAACACATTTCACACGTCCACTAGCAGCAGCTGTGCTGGAAACCCAGGCAGGCACACACATGCCCAGTGAAAATCCTGCACATTGCTTAGAAGTACAATATTCAGCAGAAGAGGTGAGAGAACAAGAGTGAAAAGGTCTTTTGCAGCAGTGACATGGAAAAAAAACGAGCTGCAGAATGCATGCAAGCAAAATCACACAGCAGAACGTTAACAGAAAGGATCAGATTGTACTGCAAACCTTTTCAGCTCACCAAACCTTTTCAAATCCAGATGGCTCCCTTGCCCTGTTCTAGCTAAATCTCTGACCGTTTCGTCCATGCTTAAATGAAAGCAAGCGTCCTTGATGCCTGACTGCTTTTTATATCTCCCATGCACTGTGATTTTTAAGCCCTGTTAAACCTTTTGCACCTTATTTGTTTCCACTCATGGGTTTGCAAACCTGAGAAGAAAAGTATTGGTGATCTTGTGACAATAAATCAAGGTGAAATAAACTTAAGTCTAGCAAACCTTTTATTGTTTCACATCCTTTGTTTCTGAATTTCTGTTAAAAAGACATTTCTGCTTTCTTACATTCCCAGCCCATATAGAAAGGAAAGGAAGACAAGGACTGTACCTACCTTTTCGGAAGCTAAAACATCGCTTAATCCTCCTGTAAGTAGTTTTGGGAACGAAGGGGGAGGATGCCAGGGCACCCGAGGCACGAACCCCCGTATTCCTGTCTTCAGGCATCATGCGGGCCTGAGAAAGAGTTGCTAGCCAAAAACAGATGTTAAAGACTACTTTGTGATGTCATGGTGCAATCAATCATTCTTCTTTACTACTGTTTGCATTCTCATCTCCACTCCTGAGTATCTCAAACTGATGATGTTCTCCGTCTTGGCTGAATTTGGCTGTGGAACACTTTCAAGAAAAAGGTGCTTGCCCCTCCTTTGCTAGTGATTCTCAGATGGTTTTGTTTCAGTCTCCCTTGCTCCTTCTCTTTGAGCTTCTGATTTTATTTCCTGTTGAATGGCAACAATGTCCTACCACCCTGACAAAAGAATCTCAACACCAAGGTTCATCGTTTGTGAAAGGTACCTTATGGGTGTTTCGTGGCATGGTTTGAGGAAACAGTGCCTCTTCTCAGCTGGAACTGTACAGGGTGGAGCAACTGGGAAGGGGGGGCACAGACTCCAGTGGGAAAGGTCAGCAAATAGCAATGCATAAGCAGAAGATGAGAACAATGACCAAAAAGGACCCCAAAGAATTGCGTTGGAAGCTCCAGGATGACTCCTTTTTATCTCGGTAAAGAGGGGACAGAAATCATGACAGCATCTCCCCAAAGGCTACATTTGTCCATTATGGATGCTCTTCAAAGAGCTTCTTCTTTTTTTCCTAATTATTATGCAAGAAAATGCTTTCCTTTGAGATAGTCTGGATGATTTGCTGCCTTCCTCTCTCCCAGCTCTTGTGGCAAACGCATCAGCTCTGTAGGATCAGCCGTTCATCAGCACCACCTTTAAGTTCCTCTGTATCGGCTGGAGCATGCACGCCTCTTCCAAGAGATGTCAGTGCCAATATTCTCCCTGTCCAACTATTCTCAATGGAAGGGTTTCAAAGGCTGCTGCTGCTGCTGCTGCTGCTGCTACGGCTGCTGTTGGCTCTGCTGCTTCGGCCAGTGCTCTTGCTTTCTGCTCCAGCCTGCTGCATGCGTGTGGCAGGTGCGAGCAAAACAATATAAAGGAGGCAAAGCGAGCCTGTGCAGCTTCTGCAATGTTGATTTTCTAAAATGTTGACTTTGACTTGACTTCAAAGAAATGTCACGTGTGGCAGTTTTAAGAGCCCCTTTGCTTCTCACAGAAGCGTCCCGCTCCCCCTTGCCTGACCCATTAATCTTTCCCACTCCTTGGTCCCTTCTAGTTCCATGCTTTTTCTACTTTCATGCGGTGTAATCAAAGCTTATTTTTCCTCATATCAAGAGCAGCAAGAAAAATGTCACCTTTTAAATCTAATTAGGGAAGAATTTAATTCACAGAGAAACATTCAGGGAACTGGAATTTTTGCCAGTGCTGTTAAGGCTGGTTTGGGTATCTTCTTTGTCTTCTCTGCCCATAAACAATCTGCTTCCAGAGGGTTTCTCCCCCACTACCCCCTTGCTGGTGCAAGTTAACATCACAGTTTAATAAACCAGTTAATAATTTGCAGAGCTCCTGCTCTGTGCTTTCTGCCTCTGCACTATTCCTGCCAGAAGGTCAACCCCAAATATTAGGATTTTACCAAAGGGCACACCGGCATATTTCTAACTGTTTAGAAAACATGCTTTCCATTCCAGTGAGGTGGGATGATGGATACCCAATTCATGAAATGCATATGCAAAGCAGAATTTTTCCTCCAGTTTCTTCCTTGCTCCTTTCATTTCAAGCCAGATTTTTATCACAGACCTGCACAATTTGAAACCCATCACTGCTCTCCAGCCCGCCATGTCTGGTGATCCAGGACAAGGTTGATAAATTTCTTATTTTTGACTCCTATCTAGAATTTCAAAAATGATAGGAAGGTGGAGCTGGCAAGCAACCAAAAGGCAACCATACATGACTTAGTTCTGCTTAGTAGGTTAAATGTTGCAAGCTTAGCTTAAGTGTATGGAAACTTAAAAAGCAGAAAGATGAGGAAGACAAAAGAGCATTTAAAATAATATCGGAAACTGCCTTTTATCAAGGCAGATTATTTTTCCATCTAGCTCAGCCTTGTCTGCTCTGACTGATGGCAGCCTTCCAGGGCCTGTGGCTAAGAAGTGTCTTTGCCTCCACCTTCTATTTAGAATATTTTTCCTAGCAATATCAGACACTGAATCTGTACCTTTGGCATGTAAAGCAATGCACAATCACTAAGCTAGGGTATCTTCATGAAATGTGATGCAACAAAAATGAAACAAAAGCTGAACCCTGGCAACCTTGGGTTGGACTGGGAATTGGATGAAGAATCCATATTGTGAGATGGCATTTGAAAGTTGGGCAGCCCAAGTGCAAGGAGGCACCTTATGCAACTGTTCTTCAAAACAAAGCTTGGGTAATCTATCTGGGACCATAGATAAAATCTTCAGCCAATAGGTGAATACTTTAATTATAAATGGCTTTGTATAGGGGGTATATCCAACTGTGCCCTTACTGCTAGAGTTGATGTAGACTTGTCCACTCCTAAGATGCATTTCAAGAAAGTGGATTGTATCTGTTTCAATAAGGGGCATTTATATATCCCCACAGTTCTGCACCATATGTAATCATTGGGACTATTTTTTTGTTATATACCTTTATGATTGGAATTAGAGAACCCGGGTAGCTGTGGTTGGTGTGCTGCCTTATGGTGTGTTGGCACAGGCTGTAGCCCTTGGAACTCCTCTTAAAATGTAGGAACCAGGAACCTGTTTCTGTAAAAACAAGTCCTAAATAACCTGATCTATATGTTCCCTATCCAGGCTCTAGTTATACCTAGTCCACCTCTTCCCGAAAACAATGAACTTGGTCTTGGACTTATTGATGTTCAGGTAGTTGAGTGCACAGTGTGAGCTAAACCTGCCCAGCAGTTGTCTTATCCCTACCTGGGTGTATGACATCAATACCATGTCATCTGCACAAAGCAGAATATTTATATGTTTAGTCATATGCATATTGGTTGAATGAAGGGACTTTGGGATATCGTCAACATACAGATTAAATAAAATGGGAGCCAGAATACATCCTTGTCTGACCCCTTTATTGGTACTAAAAAGGGAGTTTATTTTTCCATCTAGATCAGCCTTTTCTACTCTAACATTATCCCTGTTAGGGAACTATGTGCCCCTGGGCGTACCTTTAGGCATGAGCTTGAATATAATGCCTTGATTAAAGAGAGAGGTTTAGGATCAATGCTCAGGTCCATAGGTTTCTTCCAAAGAAGGTCCCTATTTGTTGAATCAAATGCTGCACTGATATCTATAAAAGTTGTAAACAGTTGGCTTCCTTTAGCTGTCTATTTTTCTATTAGATGACATAAAATAAAAGTTATCAATAGTGGAGTGACCAGATCTAAATCCAGTTTGCTCTTTGGGTAGCAAGCCCTTTTCAACTGTCCAGTCCTCAAACTTATATAAAAGATATTTGGCATACAATTTTGCTACAATGTCAATTAGTCGAATCGTCTATAATTTGAGGGATCACTCTTATCACCCTTTTTGTAAATGGGGACCATGCTAGACAGCTCCCAGCCAGCTGGAATTTGGAAGGAATTATTTATATGAGTAAATAAACCTGCAGGTAAGGGAGCCCACCAGTGAATGTGATATTTGAATAATTCAGGGGGTAGAATTCTTCCCCAGGAGCCTTATTGGACTTCAGAGTCTGAATGAGTCTTCTAGTCTCATTCACCAGTGGCCAGGGTGGGGAGGGACTACAAGCCTTCTGTAGATCATTTTGTGGATCCTCTAATTCACTGCAACTTGAAGCAGTGAATAATTGGCTGTAATATTCCTCCCACATGGAGGCAGGTATAGAGGTGTCCAGGGAGAACCTATGTTCCTGCAATATTCCTGCAACCAAATGCCAAAAAAAGGCTGGGTTTGGGGTTTGGGCTACTAACTCTAATTTAACCAGAGGATAAATGGTAAGACTTCTTGTGCTTGATTGTTTTCTTATACTCTGGTTTAAGCACCAGCATGGCAGCATGGTTATTATTTTTGGATAGTTCTGTGCTAAACACATAGCTGGCCTTAATCTTTTTCTTACTGTTTGTCAAATCAATGAGGGCCTTTTATCTGATACCTCCTGGGGAGGGTAAGGGTTAAATACCAGTTAATACATTAATGCAAAGCCTAGCTAGGGGGCAGGAGCTAGCTGACAATGACTGATCTTGAAAAATCTAAGCAAAATCAGTTCTGGTTATTGCTTGGATATGGGACCTCCAGGAAATTATGGGTTATATACTAGATTAGGATATTGAATAAAACTGTCCTGAAATAAGGTGATGGCAAATCATTTCTATCATACTGCAAGAAATGTATATGGGAGTGCCCATGTTGTCACCTGGAATTGAGTGCCTTTCATTACCTTTTCATTTACATGTTGCATGAAGTCCTGAATCTAATACCAAACATTTTAATTGGGTACTCTTGGATTCAGGCATTATGAAAGTGGGAATAACATTTATATTTCTATTCCCATGTACAGCTAGCACATAAACACTGGAGCATAAGAAATGGTCTTCAACACTCAACAAGGACAATTATCAGAGGAAGTAGAAACTGATCAGTCCTGCTACACATGCAAAGCTATAACCAACATTTAACTGATATTGTTAAGTGACAGTAATCAATGAAACTACTTTTCCAATGAATTTGCTTGTTTGCAAATATTTAAAAATAAGACTCTTTTGATGTTCACAGATGCAAAAGAAAAGGCCAATCTTTCTGAAGAGTTTCTTACATGCATATATACATACATATATTTATTATGGTTACTGACCACAATACAGAGTTCCTTTTAAGTTATCAGAAACAAGGGCAAGTTTTGATATGTACTTTGTGTTAAAGTAAATCTCCAATGGAAAATGGGATCTTTTGTCTTTGATTCAGTTGGTTCAAACCAATCATTACTCACCCTCTGCTGACAGGTATCTTAGACCTATTTGGATGAACAGACTGGCTATGATTTCATCCCAGTTTTTGTTGCCCCTCTGACCATCTGTTTGAAACTGTCAGCTCTTCATCTGTTTGAAAGTAGATCAGACTAGGACATCAGAGTTATGAATGCTAATACTACTTTTATTATAAGTTTACAGTTATAGAATCTTGCAAGTCTGAATATGCTTTCCCTCTTCCTCCCTTTATCTTCATGAGAATTAGGGAAAGTCATGTCTGAGATGCTTACTCAGATTATATTTCTGGCCCAGACTCAGATTTCTTTTATCTGAGTGCTGCCTTCGTCGTGGCTCTTCCTCCTGTTCCTCAAGGTTATTCCTATTTCCCATTATATCAACAGTCTATATTTGCAACCAGGGATGCCCTTGGAATAATTTCAGTTCATCAGAGAATCATTAGCCTTCCTCAAAAAGCCTGTTCAGTACCTTTTCTCACACTGGTCTAGCTCCCAAACCAAGCCCCGATTGGATGTGCAACACAGCTAAAGTACAGGCATTTCTTGCGTACAAGAATACCTGCACCCATAAGACCCTTTTAAAGGAGAAAAAGCAAAGTTACACTCTAGAGAATTGGATTAGAGTCCAGCAGGCCATAGTTAACAAAGATGATCACCTATTCTTGGAACTTGTTTCTCATTCTTCATCTGAAGTAAACTTTGATAGCAATAACAACTTAATTCCCCTTGAGTCTTTGGCTGAACATTTCCATGACTTATATACTGCATCAGGCAGTAAACTTTCTGCCCAGCTATTCGATGAGTCTCTCCCTGAATAGATTCCAGTTTCACCTTCTGAGGTCAAAACACTAATCTCTCAATTGGAAAACAGTAAAACTCCTGGTAAAGATCTAGCTTTACCAAAATTCTTAAAATTAAACCCTGTATAGTGGGAATCCATGTCTGCTCCTTTCTTCACAACCATAAATAATTCTCTGTGCATTCCTAAAGATTAACTTAACTCTATTATTATTCCAATTTATAAAAAAGGTGACAAATGTGACCCTCTAAATTACCACCCAGTTAGCCTACTATCTGTAGTTAGTAAATTATCTGCTACATTCCTATAT